GGGCCGCTGGTTCAATTCCCAGTCAGAGCACATGCCTTGGTTGTGGACCAGGTCCCCAGCAGGGGGCATATGAGAGGCAACCACATACTGATGTTTCTCTCCCTTTCTCCCTTCCTTCCCTCTCTAAAAATAAATTTAAAAAAATCTAAACAGTATTCTGAATGATATCACAATCCATGTAAGTTTGAATATTTAATTCACTACACTTAACTAATTAAGAAATCATAACTGCTTACTTATTTTTATATCTATTTTCTCATCTTAATCTTGAAAAAAATTTTCTCATATTTAGCATTATCAGGTATATGAGATCAGGTAATTACTGCAGTTGGGTGTTCAATTTAACTAAAAATTTCCTGGCAAGTGATGTGAGAAAGTAAAACTATAAAGGGAAAGAATTATAATAGAAAATCTTTTATCCACTCATTTGTAAAAATTCTCAGAACAAGAAATAAACAGAACAGTTAACTATCTGAGACAATTATAATTTATTAATCATTCTCAATGGGAGAATATATATAAGTGTAACTGGCTTATTGGGGTATAAATATGAGTTGGCTTTTTTTTTTAAGACCTGCCCCCCAGATGTGGTAGTTTGAACCTTCCTTTCCTATTGGTTGGTATCTTTCTTAACAACTTATTTTGATCCCATGATTTTTCATTTCCTTTTGGTTATAAGAATTCTCTCATGCTAATACTTAAGATGCAGTTTTGTCCAAATTTTTGTTCTTACATCTGATACAAATCCCTCCTTACCTGACTGGGTGAGATTGTCATACTCCCTATGTGCTTGTTGCTTCCTTGGCCATCAACACCATATTGACATGGTGCCCTCTGTTTGGTAGGAATTTAAATGCTGGGCACTTACAGGGTGAATCTGAGAGCCTGAAAAAATCTACTCAAAATACAATCACAAGATGTGGGAGAACTAGCTCCTGAAATAGTGTCTTTATCCCAATGTTTAGTCTATTTAAGCTACTGTAACAACAACAACAAACCCACATACACAGGTTGGGTGACTTTAGCAACAAAAATTTATTTCTTGCAGTTCTGGAGGCTGGGAAGTCCAAGCTCAAGGTGCCAGCAGGTTTGGTGTCTGGTGAGAGCCCACTTCCTGACTCGTAGACAGATGTCTTCTGGCTGTGTCCACACATAGTGAAAGGTGAGGGGGCTCTCTGAGGTCTCTTTTATTAGGGCACTAGCCCCATTCATGAAGGCCCCACCCTCATGACTTAATCACCTCCCAATGCCCCACCTCCAGATATCATCGTATTGGGAGTTAGGTTTCTGCATAATGAATTTTGGGGGCACACAAATGTTCAGTTTATAGCACCCACACAAGTGCTTGTAAGGCCACCTTAGATTTGTCCTAGAGGCCCTTGCCTGGCCCCTTGTGGAAGCAGTGTCAACAAGATGACCCAAGCCCAGTCACTATCCCCCAGTGACACTCTTATTGTTGCCATGCCCAATAATGGGTGGCCAGCTGCTCCGCAGACCCCCTCTCTCAGTTCTGGCAATGTTCTCCTATTTCTCCCTTTTCTGGGGCATCAGGCACTCTGCAGAAGGAGGTTACTATCCAGGGGACATGGGGGCAGTGAAGGAAGAAACAACCTTTCTTCCTGAGCAGGATACTTCTCAATGGCTAGTCTGTAACATCTCAGTCCTCTCCCACAGAGCAGGGATGAACCATGGGGGAGAGCAATATATGGTAGAACTAATTTTCCTACTCTCAGTAAGCCCTGAGGGGGATTGGTTGACCCCTAACAACTGGTGGCCCTCTGACCTCGGAATGTGGGTTGTTTTATACCTTTAGTACTCAGCTTTAGGCCTTAGCCTTGATTCCTGAACAATAGTTAAACCTTCCTTGACATTTTATGGTATAAGTAGGTACACTGGAACCACATCATCAATCAGCAATTATCGATAACTACCTTTATCTTCATCCCTGTTCTGAGAGCCAAGGTGAGTGCAAAGGACTTAACCATATTTAAGTCAAACTATGTTTGCAGCAAGCAAAAGAATGCGAACTGATAGGAGAGACTGAGTGTATATGCTAGCAAAACAATTCAGAAAACAAACTCCCAGAACAATTACACCAGCATGTGCTTTATGTTATACCCATTTTGCAGAATAAGAAACAAAGGCACACTTATTTAAGGGATTATCATTTTGCCTTTACTCCCAGTTTTATCCATGCTTTTAAATTATTATTTAGAAATCATTTACAGAAGAATTGCAAAGATAGTACAGAGTTCCTATATACCCTTCACCCACTTTCCCCTAATGTTAACATCTCCATACCATGGTATATTAATCAAAATTTAAAAAACTAACATTAATATACTACTATTAACTAAGATATAACTTTTTTGTGGATTTTACAATTTTTTTCCTGCTAATATTCTTTTTCTGTACCAGGATGTAAACCAAGGTACCATGCTGTACTTACTCATTATGTATCCTCAGTGTCCTCCAGTCTGATAAGTTTCTCAGCCTTTCTTTGTGTTCCATGACACTTTTAAGAGTCCTCCTCTGGTACTTGTAGAATGTCATACAATTTGGGTTTCCTGACTTTTTTCTCATGATAAGACTGAGTTGTAGATTTTAGATAAGAATATCAGAGGTGAAGTATACTTTTCCTCAATCATATAACAAAATAACTTATTACCAGTGAGTTATCCTTGAGCACATGATCAAGATAGTGTCTGGCAAGTTTCTCCACTCTAAATTTACTTTTTCCCCATTTCATATTCTATTTGTTAGAAAATAGTCACTAGATCCAGCCCACACTGAAAAGGAGGGGAATTAAGTTCCAGGGGGAGTATCAAATAATTTGTCGACATGTGTGTTAAAATCATCACAATAGTATTTTGGGGAAGAGTCTGAGGTTATAAAACTGTCTTATTTCTCCCTAAAGTGTCACTCACTAATTTTAACATTCATCTAGACTTACCCATAGCAATTATTCTGTGGTGTCTTAATGGTGATTTTCTTTTTCTGTCATTTCATCTACACTTCTTGTTTGTAATTTACCTGTAAGGAAGACTAATCCTTTTTCCTCATTTTGTCTATTTGACCATTGGTATGGATATCAACTATGGATATTTATTTTATTATTTGGGTAATACATTTATTTTATAATTACTTATTTTTATTTCTCAAATAGTTTTAGCTTTGACGTTGGGAGCTCTTTCAGTTGGCTCCTTTGGATATGCTCTCATCTTTTCTTCCCACCCTCCTTTAGTTTCTTTTCTTTCCCACAAGATAGTCAAGCTCAGCCTGTTTTCTCTGTCCCAGCCCTAGACATAGTCCTGTCTACAAGGAGCTCTGGTTCTGTTTATTGGAGAACGATATTTAGAAACCAAGCTCTGACTGCTAAGTGTGTTCGTTGTTATTGGGGTGTCATCGTATCTAGCCCCTCTTGTGGAAAAGCTAAGAAATGTATGAATATTCACCTATGTATATACACATATCTATATTAATTTCTGTATCTATTCATACATGTATATAAATAAATAAACATGAGTTCAAACTGTACCACCAACTCTGATCCAGCACCAGAGTTCTTTGGAGCCTTTCCTACGTCCTTATTTGTTACTCCTTTCTCTGATAGTAAGAAACCTGTGGATCCGCATCTGTAATATATTTACTTGTTTGTTTAACTTTAGTATACACTCAAAGTAGTTTCAGAATTGCTAACCTATACGCGTGTGAAATACAAATTTACCAACTGGAGTGCAGTGTTTTTCTAGAGTTCTTTGTGTCTTCATCTTAGTTTCAAGTAAAAACATTGTTTTCCAAAGTTAATTAGGCCAACTCTTCTTCCTCACCTTCTTCACTGAGGTTATGTCATATATTTGTAATACAGTTAGATTCATTTATCACAATCTACATTTCATCATGTGTTCCCCTGACAGCCTGGTTAATATTTTTAATTTGCATGTAATAAAAGTCACTCTCTATGCTCTACAGTTTTTTGCATTTTGACAGATACATGAGGACCATCATAGTACCATACAGAACAGGTCCATTACCTAAAAATTTCTTTGTAGTAACCGCCCCCACCATTTCCTCAAACTTGTCAACCACTAATCTGTTTTTCATCCCTATAGTTTTGCTTTTTCCAGATGTCACATAAATGGAGTATACAATAGATGTTTAAGTCTAGCTTCTTTCACTTAGAAAAATGCATTTAAGACTTGTCCATGTTATTGCATGAATCAACAGTTCATTTCTTTTTACTGTTGAGTATAGCTATTCATTGTATAAATATATCACAGTTTACACATTCATTTGTTGAAGGATATTTGGGTTATTACTAGTTTTTGACAAATGTGAATAAAGCTGCTGTAAATAATCATGTATTTTTTTGGGCGTGTGAACACAAGTCTTCAATTCACTTGGGTAAATACCTAAGAGTAGAATGGCTGGGTCATATAAGTATGTATTTCGAGAAATTGCCAAATAGTTTCCCAAAGTGAATCTTGTGCTTTGCAATCCCATCAGCAGTGAATGAGAGTTCCTGTTGTTCCACATGTCCAGCTTGGTTGTCTATCCTCATTTTAAAGTGGAAACTGTCCCCCACCTCTACTCTGACTTCTCCCTTCCTATTGGCCTCTGTTCAGATTACAAAATAATCTGAATTTTTGCTTTGCAGATTGCTGGTATCAGTGAAGATAATGATTTTAGACTACTTTATATTTCCACTGTGCACTAAAGTACTCTCTCTCTCTCTTTTTTTTTTTTAATCTCCTAACAGTCCTAAAAGGCAGTTTTAGGAAACACCTTTAGGTTGGTATAAGAGATCAAATGGTACACTATTTGAAAAGAATTTCTTTCTGGATTTCTCAAACCTCTGCTTTTGTGAGCCACTTACCCTACTCCTTTTGGCCTCTTTCTAGATGAACAAAATGAATCCAATGAAACAAGAATGGCTAAGGTCTTCACTGGGATCCCGCAGGATAGACTGCATGTGGCTTTCTAGCTAGGGAGGGTGGGTCTTATTTAATCAGGAAGGAGCCAGGTGTCTGTGTGTCTGGTTCCTGCCCAGAGACCCCGCCTCCTAAATTGGCAGGAAGCACCAAGTTGTAGTCATTAGAGTCCCCACCTGACATCTCTTCTTCCTGTTTCATCTGACTATTCTCACTCTGTGAAGATGGCTGATAAATCACATAATCCTTTAAATCCAGGAACCTCCCCGATTGCGTGACAAGTTGAATGTGAGCCCCTTGACCATCTCTCTTGCCCTCTACATGGTTTGCATTTGAGGATGTCACTTCTTCTGCCTGACACTGGCTTCCATTGGAATCTGCTGGTGGGACATTTTCATAATCTCTGCAGTACTGAAAAGACATCCAGGGCTGTTTGCCCTGGATGGCCTCAAGATCCAACTCTGCCATGTTGACATAGTCATTTGAGGTCTCTGAAGAACCTTCCTCATCACTGAGTGGATCCTTGTTTTCAGTTCCCAGAGACCAAAAACTGGTGCAATCACTGATGTTGCCATAGTCCTTGTCTCCTTCCTCAGTAAATTCTAGCTCTGGGACAATTGGAAGGATAAAGAGATTCCCAGGGGAGTTGTTGGGGGAAGCTACAGTTTCAGCAATCTCTTCTGCTGTGGGGACATTGACATAATCTCTTGAGTCCTCTGAAGAAAAGCTCGGGTGGTCTCCAGGTGCTCTGACGTTGACGTAGTGTGCTGAGGGAGTGAAGTTCCCACATATCTGGGGCCTGGTGGCATTGTCATAGATTCCCACAGCGTGAGTCTGGGCTCTGTGCACCTGGAGGACATTGCCTGCTTGGGAGGGCTAGGAGCAAGAAGAGAAAGCCAGTAACAGGAGAGAAGCAGAAATATGGACAAAACCTCTCTTCTTCCCACCCAGGACTGTTAAGTGATTGTTCCTTCACTCAGTTCTCCACCGTGGTGCATAGCTCTCAATCGGGGGTCTCCAAATGCAAAGCATTAGATGGTAGGAAGGTATGAGAAAAATGGGCTGAGTTTGGGGAAAGCAACCATGTAGATGTGATGATAAATTGAAACTGTTTTTTGGCTACAATGTGGGGTTGTCATGGGGAGTGGAGAGAAATTATTATAAACTGGAGAGAGAGCCTGCCACCTCAGAGCACATTGAAGGGTAATAGAACATTGTGCCTAATGGTAAAGACAGGTTCAGACTGAGGGTGCAGTTACTGGCCTCACCACTCTGTCCTGGGTTTAGGCAAGTTACCTAACTTCTTCGTGCTTTATTTTCCTAACTTATAAAATGGGGATAATTATATTACCTATATTTTAAGGTTTCTGTGAGGAGTAAATGGGTTAGTATATGTGAAATGTTTAGAATTGCTCCTGGCACACAGAAAACACTAAAATGTTTGTTGTTATTATTAAAGGGGCACCTGATTTATGGCCATTAGAGATACTGCTCTGATGTTCCCAGAACTTCTGAATTTTCAAGAAGAGCTGGGCATCTGGACTTTAATGTGAAATCTTATAAGATTTTTAAATGTTGACAACTGGCTCAAATGTTCTCCAAATGCTACAGAGTCCAAGCTAACCATATTTGTGGGCCGAAGTCAGTTTGGGATCTAAGCTCTGTATGCAGAACCCCCTCAGGGCTCACCGAGTCCTGGAACTAGGCTTGGCAAGGGAGTTTCCTTTTCCCTGCACTGTGTCTGTGGAGTCCAAACATGGGACGTGCGGAAGGAGGAGGAAGCAAAGGTGGCGACATGGAGGTTGCTGCGCGGTAAAGAGAGGCTGGGGAACAGCAGACTCGCCGCCAGCAGCAGGACCGCATTCACCTTAGATGACCCTAACCAAAGCGACTGGCTCTCCACCAGGCGAAGCCGTCCCTTGACGGCCCCGGTGCCTCTGCCCCGCACTGTGTGGGACTCCCCGCAGGGGCTGCCCTCGGGCCCAGGGCCGCAGCAGAAGACATGTGGGGCTATTGTTATCCACTGAAATGCTCTCCTTGTATCCTCAAACGAGCCCCTATTATTTGGTCCAAAACTTTCTCTTCTAGTTACAGTGCTCAATGACCTATGACTATTTCTGTTATTGAGAACAACCAAAATAACTTGACACAAGCACCAGAAGCAATTCCTAAAGCAGGAATTCCTAAAGCAGGGGTTTAAGCTGTTTTGAGCACCAACAGCAACTTTGGAATATCTTTGGCCCTCCTGAGGCAGTTGCTTTGAAGAGGGCCATACTGATCTGAATAAGCATCACGTGTAGGTTAAAAGAACCCTTGCAATTCTTACATCCTGCCCTGGAAGACTCCTGCCCTAGTGCCTTTCTTCTTCTTCTTTTTTTTTTACCCTCACCCAAGGACATTTTTTTTCCCACTGCTTTTAGAGAAAGAAGAGGGAGAGAAGAGAGAAACTTCAGTGTGAGAGAAACATTGATTGGTTGTTTCCTGTGCGAACTCAAAGTATTGGACCTGCAACTTAGGTATGTGCCCTGACAGGAGTCGAACACTCCAACCAACTGAACCACACCAGCCAGGGCCCTGGGGCTCTTCTTAAAATCCCAAGCACTTGCTCATATCTTTCTTAATTTTTCTCCATGGGCAGCAGGGAGGTTCTGGGGCTAGTTTTCTGATTTATTAATAGGGCTGCAAGGGTGAGTGCCAAAGGACACGTTGTTTGTTTGCAGTGACACAAGATCTGGGACCTACAACTCTTTCACCTGAGTTCTTCTGCCAGAGACAAGTAATTTTCCCCCAAAGGGCTGGACATTTTGTGTGACTCTTACCACATGCTCAGAGCGAGGGCTGTCAGAGTTTCTGGAGGGGAGGCTCTCGATACTGAAAATATGGATACTCCTTGACTGATGTCTCCCTGAAAGGACAGAGAACAAATCCTGATGCTAGTTAGCCAGTCCTAGCTTCAGCCTACACACTCCCCGCATCGTGGGTGAAGTGGGTATCTGGTACTTGGGGGCTGGTGTTCTTTGGTGAGAGGGTCAAAGTTACGAGGATGATGTGCTTCTGAGACCTGGAGCCCTCCTCAGCCTCTGTGGTGCCAGAGGACACTAGCACAGGGGCGGAGGGCTGGGAGGGAAGCACCTGGTATGAACCCCTCCTGCCTGTAATGCTGGAGGCAATGTTCTCCTTGGGAAGGCTTTCCCCATCCCTGGACATACCCGTTCATCCTCTGCTACCTTAACAGCAGGAAAAACCCAAATCCCAAACCCAGAGAACCCCCTGCTCCCTTTTCAGAGCTTTCTAGGCTCCCTACTAGAGTTGCATCTTACAGTTTATCTATTCCATTCTTCTCCATGCTTCCTGAAGGGCAGAAAGTTCTGGAAGTTTAGAGAAAGTTCCTTCCAGAAGGTGAGAGTTGCATTTTTGGGGCAGAAGTCCCATATGTCTGAACTCCATGGATTAGAAATAGAAACCTACCTAGCTCTTCTTGCCTCCGGGGCAAGAGGTCATAAATATTTTTGGCTCGTTGTCTGGATCGGAGCACAGTCAGCAAGAACATGTTGGTGACTTGCAGGTAAGGATCCCACCCTGAACAGCAATGAGAGGGAAGGGAATTCTTTGGGTGACATGGTCCCTGAAAGTGTTCCGCACCCGCACCCTGCCTCATAAAAAGTACATTTCAGACTTGACAAATTTGAGCAAATGGAGGGAAGAGAAAACAAGGGCCTGGGGTATTAGATCAAAGACTTTGAAAACAGAACTCCAATCAGCACTAAGCCTTTTGGAGCCACAGCCTAGGATCTTGAGGGAGACAAGGTCCTGTGTGTCGGATAAGAACAGAGGAGTTCTTGGTGCAGTAGTTTATGCCTGAAGAAGAAACTGGGCTTTAAACGACAGGCTAGCTTATTGGTCCTAGCATGTCTCAACTTTGGATAAACAAGGGACTCACGCTTCTTTCGTCGATTCCAGTTCCACAGGATGCAGAGAATGGCGATGACTAGGAGAATGGCGAGGAGTCCCGCAAACCCAGAAATGATGTTGCTGCTCTGGTCTTTATCTCTGTGAGGAAAACTGAGTGCCATGCCCCAGCCAGGGAGGATGGGGAGGTTGGTGAAGATGCTTCCCTTAGGACTTAGAGCCTGAGGATTTGGCATGGGAGCCTGGTGAGGGAAGGCCAAGCTGGGGTGGGCTGTGTGGTGGGAGAGGGGCATCTCTTTGTGGACAGAGGGAAATTGGATACAGGAGAAGGAAATCTCCTGTGTGAACGCTTATTGGATGCCAGGGTTTTGAATGTGAAACTTATTTAATCTTACAACACTCCTGTCTCTCTCTTTGTGGCCCCAGAATCTGAGATTTAGACTCAGGTAAAGTAACATATCAAAGATCCCACAGGTAGGAAGGATCAAAGATGGAATATTTGGGCCAAAACGTCATGCTTTTTTCACTGCATCACACTGGCCTCCAAACTTGCAAAAGCAAGTTCATCTGCCCTTGTTTCCCCTTGTTCCTAGACCTAGGCTTCCTATCTTTCAAGGTGGAAAGGATTACCCAATTTACAATTAGGGAGTGGCGCTGTGACAGAGTCCAGCTTGCGTACACGTGAATAATCTTCTCAGCCCCAACTTGTGAAGCTGGTCTCCGAGCAACACTGTTCTGTGGAATTTAACCAACACACATGCAATGAGCAAGTTCCATGCCAGTTGCAATTTCCCGGCAGGGGTGGGGTTAGTGCTCTTTTTTGCCTGTTTTAAATAGCAAGCAGCCAGTTGAGGTTACAGAAGGAATCACTAGCAGACCTGCCACCTCCAATATTAGAAACCAGGTCATCTAACAGGGAATGTTTTTGTCCTCCTGAGTCCTAGTCTTGTTTATCCAACTTTATATTGGACATTTGTACAAGGCTGCCTAATAGATATTTCAAACCAAATCTCTCTGAAACAGTTCCTGCTTTCCCATAAGCCTGCTCCTCCTCTGGTGTTTCCCAACACCTGGGAGCTCCATCTGAAATCATCCTTGACTGCTCTCTTTCTGTCATGTCTCACTCTTCAACCAGCAAATTCTGTTGCTCTATGCTGGGTATTCATCCCAAACCCAGTTACCTCTCAGCCCTCCACTGCCACCACCTGGCCTAAGCCACCACGTGTTCCACATCGGCCTTTGCAATAACCTTCCTAATGGGTCCTCTTGCTTTCACTCTCAGCCCCAACATTCTATCTTCACGTACGAGCCACTGTGATCCTCTGAACAGTAAACCAGATTGCGCCTCTCCATGACTTTTCACACCTGGGATAACATCCATAGTCCCAACACAGTAGGACCTCACAGCACCTTATATTCTGGCCTCTTCCTACCTTCTACCTCATTTCCTACCAGTTTCCTTCCGATGTTGCCAGGATTCCTTGCTGGTCTCGCCCATGCAAAGTACAGTCCTATCTCAGACCTTCTGCTCTCTCCCAGGTGGCTGCATGGTTCAGTTCCCCATTTAATTCAGGTCTCTTTTGAAATGTCACCTCCTTAGACACAACTTCCCTAGCTACACCTTATTATTCTCAGTCTTCTTACTCTGCTCTGGTTTTTCTTCATAGGGTTTATGACTGACATCATATTATACATTCATTTATCTGTTTATATCTGACTCTCCCACTTGAGTATAAGCTCCAGGAGGTTAGGGACTTGTGTATTGCGTTCACCTGGTACCTGGAATAGTGAGGGCCTGATGGATATTTGTTAAATGAATGAATGAGTGAATTCATAAACAAATGAATAAATACAAAAATTCTTCTCTTTGGAGGGGGTAGGTACCCAGGGTTCAGACTTTATGAATTCATTCCCCATCAATGTCCCTGTCCACTTGCAAGTGACATGTGTTTGTCATGGTAATAACATTTATTTCCCAAAAGTACAATGATTTTGATTTTAAATTTATTATCGTTGAATTGTACTGTTACCATAGCACTGAAATTTATACCTACCAGTGTTCCTGAGATTTTGACTTTTAATTTTGTTAGGAAGGTTTTGAAAGCAAAGACAGAGCATAAAATTGACATTGGCGATTAGTTCTGTGAGATTTTATGTCCTAAAGACGTATCTTTTTACCTTATCCACGATTACATTTTTCATTCATGGCAAATTTTTAGGACCTAAAAACACATCTTTGGGAAAAGTGGGCCTTTTGCTTTTATCATAGTGGGACCTAGTACTTTTCTGAGGGGGAACTGGAGGCCCTTGAAACAGGAAAGATTGAGGGCAGCGATCAGGGTCTCCAAGAGGTGAGAAATCCGGCCAGGCCAGGCAGCTGGCTCTAAGACAATCTTGTATTGTCACAGCTTTTCCTGTCCCCCAATGACTCCTTTTTTCCCTCAACGTCTCTTTCTCTCCTGTGAGCAGTTCTGAGCAAACTTCTCTGAGTCTAGAGTCTGGTAGTCTCAGTGGACCTGAGCCCGGCTGTGAGGGGTGGCAGCCTCCCAGGGTGGACCAGGGCCCTCTGCAATTCGGGGAAGGGTGGAGCTCACCACCCAGAGCCACTCACCTGTCCAGCCGGCCGAGAGTTACCTGCAGAGTGTTGGGCTCTGAAGTCCTCCCTCTGATTCCAGAAATGGTTGGGGTGATGACGTCCATTGTCACAGGAACCTCTCTCTGTAAGCCTCTTAATCACAGTCAGCTAGGCAGCATATCTGCCACTTATCCTTGATTTTTCCTAAATTGCTGATTCCCAAGAGAAAAGGCAAAATTAGTTTGTATTTTACATATAACCCTTTGTGGTAGAATTCCACCCCGCCCCCCCCGCCCCGCCTTTTTTTTTTTAGTAGATAAGAATGACATAAATCCTCCTGGTCTCCAAGTCTTCCAAACACTCCCTAATGCAGAATGTTTTACTTTCAACATTTCCTCTTAAATCTTTATTCAACAAAGGCCCTCACACACAGACAAAAAAGTCTGTTGGTTTTTAAACTTCCAATATTTCCTTCTAGAATTTTCTTTTTTCCAACAAACTCCTTGCTTTGTGTCTCCTCCTGAAATGTCAGGTGGAGTTGACCCAAAATACAAAAACAACAGGTTTGGTTCTACCTGGATGTGGCCACAATGCCCACTGCCGGAGGGCAGAACTCGCCTGGGTGTGGGGCTCCTGAGGGGTGACTCAGGTGGAAGCCATGGTCTCTGCCTTCTGGTGGAAATGTCAGGAGCTCAGAGGTGGAAACTGCCAAGAGGCCTGAGAGAGGCTCTGTGAGAAGCTCACCTTCCCCAACCCCCAAAGCAGAGAGAATGGAAACAGAGAGTTGATGACAGGAAGCACCACCACCAATGTGCTAATGAAGCACGGTGCACAGGAAATGCTGCTCAGCTCTTCATAATATAGAAGAAAACATGACTGCACCACTGTTCCCTAGATTACCCAGGTGCCCTGTGGTCTGTGGGGAGTGGCATTAATGACGGGGCAGTCGGGGGGCAACAGAGCAGGACATTTGTGATTGCTCACCCTGGGTTTCTGAGGCGTTAGTGTTTTATAAGCCTCCAGGTTTACAATTTCTTTTTAAGCAGGTCTAAGGAGAAGTGAAGGGTGCTTTTTAGATACAAATGCAGATCTCTGGTACTTGATGCTGAATCGTGGGCAGAGGGTAGAAAGGTCGTCTTCATAAATGCTGCCCATGTGACTTTGAGGGAGCTAACCTGCGTTTCAATGTTTTGAGAACCTCTGTTCTGGGTATTACCTCAGAATAGGGTGATGCTAGGTTAGCAGGAACCCTGGAGGCCATTTCTGCCCTCCTCCTCCCCCGACCCCCTAACAGCCGGCCCTCAGTGGCCCCCAGCTGCGGGCTGTCTCGCTCTAGGGGGCTCTTCAGAAGATGGATCCAGTCTTGGTTTTTGCGCACCAGTCCCAGAAGCCAGAGAGTTTATCTCATTTGTCTACCTAAAGAGTCCCAAACTTTGAGGATTGTTCCAGATTTGTTTCTAACTCTCTTACCCTCTTCCTCTTACCAATTTCCCAAGAATCTCTTTGCATCTTAGGAGAGTCCAAAGAGAAGGGGTCACTGAGACTATTATGAGGGTGTGAAGAAGAGCCTTTGACTTTGCTCTCCACAAGGAAATAGATTCCCAGGTAAATGGTAAGGAAGGCAGCTGGGGTCCCATCACCATGCCGCTCTCCCATCTCTTCTGGAGCTGTCAGCCCTTGCCCTGTGGGTGCTCTCACAGGCCCCCAGGGGAGGGGCCCCCTGTGGTTTTCCCCAGTCCTGCCACTCCAAGTCCTCACTGTCACCCCTCCCTGCAAGTAGTCTTACCTGGCAGGAAGCAGAGATGGCTCAGAGGCAGCCGGTTCTCGAGCTGGAATCTGGGTCTCTGTCCACTTTTCCTTTGGATCAGGACTTAGTAAGGATGAGGACTCCTCATGGGAAAAACAGCTATGGCTCCAGTTTGTGGCTGGGACTATTGGAAGAGAGGCCCCCTAGGCCTGTCCTGAGCCACTGACTCCAAGAGGGCACTGTTGTGAACCGGGAACTTGAAAGATGATACATAGGATGGGCAGATAGAACCAAACCTTATAACCCTGACTACTACTTTAAAAAAACTTTTTTTGAAGAACTTCCTCCTGCATGTGATCATCTCTTATCTACTCAGCCTGCTTGAGTCAGACTAATCTTCCCTCCGATCTCCTGATTCTCTCCTGCCTCACACTGAAGGGAAACAGCCCCCTGGAAGGAGGCTCTCAGGCCAAAGATGGAACTCGGGTTCCCAAGGTCTGGCTGCGCCCTTTCGCCTTGCTCTTTGTTCCCTTCCACAGTACACAAATCATTTAAATCAACAGTTAAAACACAAAACAGGGGGTCTGAAGTTATTCATTGTAATGGTGGAAGAAAACAGGATAGATGTTTTAAACCTAATTGCTCTAGTGTTTCCCTTAAGCCACTTTTAATGATTTCAGGGTTGAATATGACATATGATTCTAAAGTATTGTTAAAGAGAAAACAATAAGCCCAAAATGGTGTCACTTGAACTAAAGCCCATGATACCAAACTTAGACTTAATTTAGTTGAATTGCAGTTTCAACTTCTCCAAGAAATATCTTAATCAGCCAGTCTGGAATTTTCTGGCCAAGGGCCTATAAGGTACTCTGTCATGTGAACTACCTTCATCCCTACCCCTGAAAAAGGAAGAAGAAACAATCTGCACGATAAAACCTTTGCCTTTCCTTCCCCAAACCCACAAAAGAAGATGTCCTGGTTTAAAAGTAATCCTTTTTTTTTTGGCTAATAACTCCCCTGCTCTACCCTTCTTCCTATTTAAAAAAAAAAACAAAAAAAACCCTTTGATTTTGTATAGCCCCTTAGAGCAGCCTTCTATGTGCTGGATGGGATGCTGCCCGATTCATGAATTGCTTAATAAAGCCAATTAGATCTTCACATTTATTTAGTTGAGTTTTGTTCTCTGACAGTATTAAGAAGATTTGTTTTAAATAGAGCTTATGCACCCAAGTGAGCAAAGCTTCTTGAGGGAGAGGGGCTATACAATAACTCAACAAGTAGCTAACCCCAAAAACTTCTTGGAATTCTCTTCGGAAAGACAGAAGCACTGTGTTGAGTATCACCGTGAATTCAAATGTTAAATTGCTAGTTGGGTGATCTTGTGCAGATCCTCTCATATTTTTAGGGTGTAAGATGACAATAATAATAGTACTTAGATAAAGTTGTTGTCAGTTAATTGGTCTTGCAATGAAAAATGCTTGGCCTTGCGTTTGGTATATGCGAGAGCTCATTAAATGGGGGCTGCTATTATATTATTATCTCAAAATACATTAGGCTCATTCCTTTAGACAATGTTTAATGGACTGGCCCCTTTGCCTTCCTCTCGATTCTTAGCTTACTTACCTCCTGTGTGCTACTTTATTTTTTAATATATTTTTTAAAATTTTCACCTGAGGACATTTTTTCATTGCTTTTTAGAGAGAAAGGGGCGGAGGGGAGAGAGAGAAAGAAACATCAATGTGATAAAGAAACGTCGATTAATTGCCTTCTTGTACGTGCCCTGACCAAGGATGGAATCCACAACCTGGGTATGTGCCCTGACCAGTAATCAAAACCGCGAGCTTTCCACCTACAGGACAATGCTCCCACCTACAGAGCCACACCCACCAGGCCTGCTACGTTATTCTTTCAGCACATATTTATGGGATGTGTCCCATCACATGACATTTTGTACTAGTTTTGCACATGAAAGAGACACATGCCAAGGTCGCTGTCCCCACACAGTGGTCAACCTTGGCTGGCTAGCCACCCCCTTGTAGAACTGCATTCCAGGCAGACCCAGCTCATTGTCACTTTTGTACTCAGGGTGTTTGAATGTCAAGTTTCTTCATTTTAATAGCAGTTTCTTTTTTTTTTCTAGTACAATGCCAATAGAATCACATTTTAAGAGTTTATACTGGTTACTTCTGGGTTTGGGGCTTGGGGTATTTTGTTACTTCTTTTTGACACTTACTGCTTGAATTATTACAAAGATCAAGTGTCATTTTTATTAAAAAAATAAAAAAAATTTTTTTTAAGTGACCTGAGTGTCACCACCTCTGTGAAGCCTTCTCCCCCTGAGAACTGGGTTCTCACTCTTCTGTGTCCCCACGGCAGTGCTTCTCAGATGCTGGGCTTCATTTCTGAAACGTCCATCTACCCTTGCAGACTTTGAACCCCTTCTGGGCAAGAACTATTTTGTTTACTGTAACCCGGGGGCATTTGGCGCAGTGCCAGAGCGGGAGTTACCTGGGCTCTCTGAGAAGTTCCCTTGGAGGTGTTCATTGCTGTGAATTTACGACCCAAGTGTGTAAAGGATGAGATATTGAGGGAGAAATCAAATCAAGCTTTGCCCACTCTCCTTACCCTCTGTAGGAAGGACACCTTGAGCTCTTGTGTTGGGTTTCTTTTGCCCTCAGGAGTTAACAATGGCTTTTGCATTTCCAATCCCCCGCCCACTCCTTTAAGGCCCATAGCCCCAGGTGAAAGAACTCCAACCAGACTTGGATTTAGGTTTGGAAGCTGAAACAATCAGGCAGAATTACAACAGAAGCCTTGCCGGTGGGGATCCCCCACCCTCCCCAAGTATTTGCCGGGTCCTGGAGGCCTTCTCCCGTCCAGACAAGTCCGAGAGAGCAAAGGTAGCCAATACCTTTCTTTGAAGTTAAAGTTGTGAGAGAGCAGGGTTAGGACAGAGATTTAGAAACTACAGAAATATTCCTCACTTCTCTGTTCCCTGTCCCCACTTCACCCAAGGCCTTTGGGGAGAGGGAGGAGAATTTGGAAATAAGAGGACCTAGGGGGTTGTTCCTATTCCCCACTCGGGTCTTCTGAGTTGTTTGGCAGCCTCCCCTGGAGTCCCAGCAGCTGCAGAGCCCCAGGCAGGGCTGATAACCAAATGTCTGCTGATGACTCAAGGCTCTCCTCTGTCTGCAGGGGTCCCTCACCAGCCCAAACTTGCAGAGAGGTTCTGACCCTGGGGCTCTGGCAGGAGGGAGGTGAGTTCCCAGCAGAGAGAGCAGGGTGGGTGGTCACCGCACTGTGCTTGTCAGAGGAGGCGGCCAAGGGCAAAGGACCTGGGGACCTGACCAGACAAGCCAGGAGACTGGATCAGGGAAG